GGGCGGGGGGGGGGGGGGGTGCAGGATGCAGAAGGGGGTCCCCTCCCATCCTGAGCGGGAAAAACCCCCAACAGGAACCAAAAGGTGGGAAATTATTTATTAAAAATGGTCTTATTTTGGGAGAGCGGGGCCTGGCTGCTGTGGGTGGGCCACCGTCGATCCAGGTCACCGCCTGCTGCTGCTGAAATATTGATGGAAGCGGCGGGTGGCAGGGCAGCGAGGCGTGCAGGGCGCTGCGGGGGGGACAGACGGACACCCCCTGCGGGGCGTGCGGCCACAAGCACCCCCGGACACGCCGCACACCCGGCGCACCGCGGGGCCGGTGACACGCAGGCTGCCGTGCCGCCGACACCCCGCACCCCTCGCAGAGCGCTGGCGGGTGTCACGGGAGCCGCGGGGCGCGGAGCCACCCCCGCGCCGTCACCCGCGCCCTGCACAGCCTGACCCACTTCCCGCAGGCGCCGGCACACGGATGGAGCACACGCTGCCGGTGCAGGGACAGCGCCCACCCCCGGCCCTCCGCCCCTCTGGGGGTGTCACCCCCGGCTGCCCCTCGGCAGGTGTCCCTCACACAGCGTGGGGTGTCCCTCAGCGGGTGTAACTCGCTGGGTGTCCATGTCCCCCCGGGTCCCCTGTCCCCTCCAAATGTCCCCAGGGGTGTGTGGGCGTGTCTGTCTGTGTGCTTGCACACTGTCCCCAGGTGGCTGTCCCCCTGCCCGCTCCCCCGTGGTCTCCGGCTGTCCCCACGTGGTCTTTGCCCAGGCAGAGGTGTCCCTGGGTTGTCCCCACGTGGTCCCATCTGTGTATCCTCAAACAGGGCTGGCTGTTCTGGGAGTGTCCCTGTGAGGGTGTCCCTGTGCCCTGCCCCTCGGGGGCTGTGTCCCTGTGCAGGGCCCCCGGCTGTCCCCTCTGCTGACCCCCAGCACAGAGAGACAGGGAGGGGCTGAGCCCTGTCCCACCCCACTGGGGATTACAAGGGGCTCAGCCCAGCTCTGCCTAATCCGGGGGATTACATGGGCTGGGCCCAGATGGGGGGGGAACCAGGGGTGCCCCCCACAAGGACACGGCACGTGGCAGCCGGGGACAGCAAGGGGGGCTCCCAGCAGCAACCACGGGCACCACGTACCCCAACACACGGCCACAGGGTGGGTTTGGGGGGCGAGGGGAGCACAGCAGACGCCCCGGGTTTATTGGGGTGATGGGTGGGGGCTCAGGCGGTGCCGCTGCCCTGCTGCATTCGCTTGAGCAGCTCCTCGTCCTGCAGCGACAGCTCCGTCAGCTTCTTGCCCATCCGCTCGTGCACCTCCAGGTACTTGGCCACGCAGCGGTCCAGGCACACGCATTCCCCTTTGGACAGCTCCGACTCCTTGTAGTGCGGGGGGACGCACTTGCGGTGGCACGCCTGGGTCATCCTGCACGGACCGCACCGCGCCTGAGCCCCGCGCCAGCCGGGACCCGGCCCCGCAGCCCAGCATCCCCTGCACCCGCCATCGCCACCCCCGGGACCCGGCCCCGCACCTCAGCGCCCCCCGTTATCGCCGTCCCCGGCACCCCCAGCCCTTGCATCCCAGCACCTCCTGCACCCGCGTCATCACCGAGCGGGACCCCGGCCTCTGCACCCCAGCAAGCCCAGCGTCCCCCGTCATCGCCACCCGGGCACCCCAAGGACCCCCCGCCGTCCCCCATCCTCAGGCATCTCCGGTTCCCCTCCCCATTTCAAGGGCATCTCCTAGGACCCCTGCACTCCCCTACAACCCCAGCATCCTAGGGTCCCCCAGTGCCTCTGGCACCCGCTAGTCTCTCCCAAGCCACGGACACGCCCCGGTACCCCCACGCCCCCAGTGCTCCCTCCCGGCGGGCCTCACCGGTTGTACATGTCGGCCATCATCTCAACCTCCAGTTCGGCCGCCAGCTGCTGAGCCCGCAGCGGATCCATGGCGGCCAGCACCGGCCCCGCTCGGTCCCGGTCCCGATCACGGTCCCTCTGAGCCCGACCCCGCTCGGATCCGCCCCCCTGGACCCTCGCGGTCCCGCTCGGTTCGGGACCCGGCGGCGGCTCCCCGCAGGAACCACGTGGGCGCTGCGCTTCCGCCCACCCGCACAGCGGCCCCGCCCCGCCGCCGGCACCGACCAATCGAGTGCAGGAGAAGGCGGGACCAGGGCTGCGCCTCGGTCGCTGATTGGTCTCGCGGAAGGGGCGTGGCGGCGGCGGCGGCCGAGCGGCGGGAGGGGAGCGGCGGAGCGCGCGCTCGGCCCGGCCTTTGCCCCGCAGGGGGCGGGGTCACGGGAAGGAGGCGTGTCCAGACCGAGAGGGCGTGGCCATCGCCGGGACCTTACCCGGGCATGGCCGGGGGGCTTCGGGTCCTTCCCTCTGTGTCCCCTGTTCCTCGTCTCCCTGGGTCCTCCCGTGACCCGCCGCCCTGCCCGGGCTGTCCCCGTGTGACCTGTGTCCCCACGTGTCTGTGTCTCCCATTGTCCCCCGGGAATCTGGTCCCCCCGCGCTGCCCGTGTTCCTCACGCCCCCCGTGTGCCCGTGTCCCCGTTGTGTCCCCCGAACACCCCCTCGTGTCTGTGTGTTCCCCACCTCGCCCGTGTGCCTGTGACCCCCAGGTCTCCCTGTCCCTGCCCAGGGTGTCGGTGTCCCCTGTGTCCCTCGGGTCGCACGGCACGGTTCGGTCCCCTCCCCGTGGGCTGCTTTGGGGTGTCGCCGCCGTCCGGGCGGGGCTGTCGGAGCGTTCCCCCTCCCCAGCCGTGCCCGGGTGTCCGGCCGGCCCCACGCGTGCCCCGCGGGTGGGCGGTGAGTGAAGGCGGCACCTGCCCCCGCCGGGTAAAAATAGCGCGGGGCGGGGGGGCTGGGGCGCAGCCGGGGCGGCGGAGCGGGAGCAGCCGGAGGGTACGGGCCGAGGGGCTCCGGGGCACCGGGACAACGGGGCTACACGAGGCGGGGGTGGAACGGGAGCGGCCGGGAGCGTGCGGGCTGGGGGGCACCGGGGAGGAGCACCGGAGGGCAGCAAGGGAGACCGGGAGGGGGTTATAGGGGAGCGGCAGTGGGAAGATATGTGGGACCGGGAGGGGGACATGGCGGTGCCGGGATGGGAGCCGGGTGGCCGGGAGGGGACATAGGGCAAGAGGGGGCACAGGGGTGCTGACATGGGGCAGGAGGGCAATGGGAGGGTTGGTTTGGGGCTTGGGGGGCTGCAGGAAGACGTGAGGGGACCGGGCTGTGCTGCTGAGGTGCCGGGATGGGGCGTGGGGGAGCCGGAGTGGGGCAACTGGGGTGCCCAAGGTAGGAGTGCCAGGGCTGGGGAGGGCATGGGGACAGGGACAGGAGGGGGTTAGCCGGGCTGGGGGGCTATGGGGGGGCACCCCAGTGACAGCCCTGTGCCCCTGCAGCAGTGACCGCAGCAACATGGAGGCTCTGGGGGACGCTGAAACCCCCACCTCGGACACCCCAACCTCGGACACCCCCACCTCGGACACCCCCACCTCGGACACCCCGACCCCCCAGGGGTGCCGGGGGCGATGCCGGGGAGGCCGGGGGTGGTGCTGGCGATGCCGAGGCAGGGACAGCCGGGGGCACCGGAGGGGGTGCCGAGGAGGGTACCGAGGGAAAAACGGCGCCGGCAGCAGCGGACAACGCCCGGCGCCGACAGGTGAGGAGGGGTTGGAATGGAGGTGGCGGCACAGCCAGGGCAGGAGGCGGTGGGGAGGGCAGCTGCGATACGGATGGGGACAAGGGTGGCTTTACTGGGGCACGGTGAGCGTGCCAGGGCCAGGATGACAGTGCCAGGGACATTGTGTGAGTGACACTGACCGTGCTGGCAGTGCCACCCTGCCTGTTGCTTACAGGAACCCACTTGGCTTCAGGACGAGGACGACGAGCTGTGGCCTGAGTTCCCTCCCTGCTCGTCCCCAGAGGGGGCCACCAGCCCCATGTCCCCCACGTCCCCCACGTCCCCCATATCCCCTACGTCCCCCATGTCCCCTGCATCTCCCACGTCCCCTATGTCCCCTACATCCCCTATGTCCCCGGCATCCCCAGCATCCCCCACAGGTAAGAGCCGTTTGGGCGATGGCACCCGAGTGTCCTGGGGTCACTGCTGCCCCACAGTGTCCATCCTCCCCAAGGGAAAGGACCTTGAGCCCCAGGGGTGCCCCGGGGGTGCGGGTGCCCTCTTCCACCCCTCTGACCCCTCCTCTCTCCTTGCAGCTGGCACCACCGAGGACACGGGGGGCAGCAAGAGGTGTGTCCCCACGGGTGGCACCCCAGTACCCCACGGCAGGGATGGCACCCCACAGCCCCCTGCTCATGGCTGTCCCACCCCCGTGTGCCTGCAGGGGTGCTCCAGCAGGGGGAACACGGGACAAGGCAGCCCCCGGTGCGGCGGGACAGAGGCTGAGGCTGGAGGGGGCCGGGGGACGGCCACGAGTGGGGACCCGGGCACAGGGGCGCAGCGCCATCCTGGAGAAGTTCGGAGGGTGAGGGGAGCCTGGCTCCGTGGGGGGCAGGAGGGGCACTGAGGGAATGGGGGACCCGGGATTTGGGCGGGTTATAGGACAGCCAGGGACAGTGGGATGGATGGGTCATGGAGCAGCGGGGGTGTTGGAAGACCATGAGGCAGTGAGAGGTACAGGGGAAATTGGGGGGCATGGGGGGGGGGGCATGGGACAGGGGGGGAATTGGGGGGCACAGGGCAGTGGGGGTATTGGGGGGCACAGGGCAATGGGGTCATAGGGGAACTGGGGCTCTGTGAGGCAGTGGTGGTACGGGGGAACATGGGCCAGAGAGAGAGGATATGGGACAGAGGGGATATCGGGGGACATGGGTCAATGAGGAGTACAGGGAGGAATAGTGGGGGTCCGTAGGGTAATGTGGGGCTGGGACGGGGGGGCTGTGGGACAGTGGGGCATTGGGGGCCCAGAGCCACGGGGCAGTGGGGTCACAGAGGGGCTTGGGTCCCTATGAGGGATGGTGGGATGTGGGGATCCCACAGCCCAGGTCCCCCCAGGGCTGCCAAGGGCCCAGCCCCACACCTGCGGCGCTCAGGGGGGGCTGCTACGGTCAAGACGATGCTGCTGGAGTGGTGCCGCGCCCGCACCCGGGGGTACCCGGTGAGCGCAGGCGGGGGGCAGCGGGAGGGTCCGGTGGGGGGTCCGGGGGTGCCCTGACCCCACTGTCTGCCCAGCACGTGGACGTGCAGAACTTCTCGGGGAGCTGGGGCAGCGGCCTGGCCTTCTGCGCCCTCCTGCACAGCTTCTTCCCCGACGCCTTCGACTTCGCCACCCTGGACCCCAGCGCCCGCCGGGACAACTTCGCCCTGGCCTTTGCCACCGCCGAGTGCGTGAGCGCAGCCCCGGCCCCCTGGTCCCCCCGGCCGCCCCCGGCCCCGGTGACCTCCGTGTCCCTTCCCGTAGGGAGCGAGCGGGCTGTGCCCCGCTGCTGGAGGTGGAGGACATGGTGCGGCTGCCGGTGCCCGACGCCAAGTGCGTGTACACGTACGTGCAGGAGCTGTACCGCTGCCTGGTGGCCAAGGGGCTCGTGAAGACCAAGAAGCGCTGAGAGGGTCCCCCACAGCCCCCCAGCTGTGCCATCCCCCTCCTCGTCCCCTGCTCTGTCCCCCAGCAGTAAAGGCCATGGTTCCAGGCGGTGGTGGCCTCGTCTCTGGAGGGAGGAACACTAGCACCAAGCGAGTGTCTGGGCATTGTCACCAGGTTGGGGCACAGCCCTGGCTCTGCCACTAGGAGGGTGACATCCCCCAGGGCTGGCACGGGGGCGACAGCAACTCCTGGAGCCCCCACCCTCCCAGTGAGGCACCGCGGAGCCAGAGCAGGTGATGGAGAGAATTTATTGCCTTATGCGTGGGGGTCGGGGCGCGGCTCGGCGTGCAGCCGGGTGTGCTCCTCTGCCCGGCGCCGGAACTCCTCGGGGCGCTCCTGCAGCTCCCGGGCCACGTTCGGCCGCAGCAGCCGCCGGGGGTCTGGGCTGTCCAGCTGCAGCAGCAGGTCCTGCAGCACTGCAGGGACAGGGGGGTCAGAGGGCCACCTACCCCCCGCACTGAGCCCCTGTCCCCGCGGTGCCCACCTTGGATGGCGCGGGTGGTGGGCTCCCAGTGCCCGTGGGTGGTGAGGGGCTGGCAGACGCGGCCCTCGAGGTCCACGCTGGGGTGGTAGATGGGGGTGCGGAGGGTGGCGCAGGGGGGCTCCAGCGGGTGGTGGGGGGAGAAGGTCAGCTCGAAGCGGAAGGCGCCCGTGTTGTATGGGGGGTTGTTCTGCCGGGATATGGGGGCAACTCAGCCTCCTCTGCCTCAGCGTCCATGGCGGGGGGACCCTGTCCGGCCCTGATACCCAGTGCCCCCCGTAGAGACTCCCCCGTGCCAGCCCGAGCCCCTCAGGAGGGGAACCTCCACCCAGTGCCCCAGCCCAGGACCCGCAGCGTCCTCAGAGGGACCCTCCCCAGTTCTGTCCTGAGGGGGACCCTCACTCAGGGAGACAGCCCCGCCCCAAGGGTCACCCCCGGTCCCTCCCATGCCCCAGGGCCACATCCTTCCTCAAGCCCGCCTGTCCCCCATGCGCAAGGGACCCCCCACGGCCCTCGCTCCCCAGGACTCTCCGCAGCCCCCCGTGCCCCCACGTCCCCCCATGTCCTCTCCCCACGCACGGGCAGCAGGAGCCCTCCCCAGCGCCGCACGTTCCCGTCCAGCGGCCCCACGTCGCGGGCCCCCTTCCAGCTCCGCACCTCCTCCAGCTCCTGCGGGGAAGGGGTGGGGCACGTATGGGCCGAGGTGTGACCCCAGAGACCCCTCCATAGGTTAATCCTCCCCGGGACACGCCTCTGGGCGGGGCCGCCTGCAGACCCCGCCTTAATAGGCAGGGTTTAATTACCGGGCACACTTTTTATGGACGGGGCCGCATCCTGGACACACCCCTGGGCGGGGCGGCCCCGCCGGGGAAACGAAACTGAAACATGCAGGGATATTTGTCACCCCCGCACCGGAGACCCTCCACCTCGGTACTGCTTCCCTCGCACCCCGCCACTGGGACTCCCTCACCAGGCACTGACATCCCCCAGCGCGGCTTCTCTCGCGCCCCGGTACCGGGACCCCCTCACCGGGCACTGACATCCCCAGCACCGCCTCTCCCGCACCCCGGCACCGGTATCCCCGCACTGGAACTAACACTCCTCCGAACCCCCTTTCCCACCCCGGTACCGGGACCCCCGCACCGCGAGCTCGGCTCCTCCCGGCCCCCGCTCCGGTGCGGACACCAGGACCCCCGCGCCGGTACCGCAGCGGCGCCGGAGCCCTGGTCCCGTCCTGGTGCCCCCGGTGCCCACCTTGGCGATCCGCCCGGCCATGGTGCTCAGTGCCCGGTGCCGGGGATGGTCACGCCTCTGGGCGGGCGGGACGAGGTTCTGCGGCCGCGCCCCCGGCACGGGTGGGTGGGGACAGATGGGCCTGGGGCGGCCGGCGACCCCCGCCACCGCGGGGCTCCGAGGGGCGGTGGGTGACAGAAGGCCGGAGCCCCGCCCGGACGGGGGGCTGACGGGAGCAAAACGGGACGCGGGACCGCATCCCGGCTGCCTCCGCACCTCGCTGCCCGCCCCCCACGGCTGCCCCCGCGTTACCGGCCGTGTCCCGGCTGATTTACGGGAACCTCCTTAATTTTTAACCAGGCAGGGTCGGAGCCGGCCAGATCTCCCGGCGCCCGCTGGACACGCAGGGAGCGACCCGCCGGGCAGCCAGGTGGGCCCGGGGTGCTGCCTCCTCCCACCCCCCACAGCCGGCTCCCCGGGGGGGACAGAGCGGGGGCACCCCGGGGTGGGGGTACGGGGGGTGCAGGGAGTGGGGGTGCGGCGTGCCGGGCTGGGAGATGCTGGGTGTCTGTCCTGCCCTTGACCTGTGCCCTCCCGCCAGCATGCCCACCGAGACGCTCTGGCTGCCTCTGGCGTGGCTGGTGGCCACAGCCATGGTCACTGTCACCCCGGTAAGTGTGGCTCAGGGACACGGGCTCCCTGTGCCTGACACCCCTCTGTACCTCCTCATCTGAGTCTCCCAGCCGGGTGCCCCATGCCCCCCTCACACAAGTCCCTGTGCCCAGGTGCTCGCTCTGGAGGCCTCTCCCAGCTGGATGACACTGCTCAGAGAGCCCCCGACACCATCTGTGCCCCCTGTGCCCCCTGCTCTTAGCCCGGCTCCCTCACAGGACGTGGGGGCCCCCGTGCTGCCCGTGCCCACCCCCAGTGCTCACCCCGAGGAGCTGCCTGGCTGGGATGTCACGGATGTCCCCAGCCCCACAGCGCCGGAGGGGACACTGGAGTGGCTGGACACCACAGCAAATGAAACCACGGCAGTGCCCACGCCTGGCACCAGCGCTCCGCCGTGCCCTGGTGACGAGGAGCCGACCGACACCTGCGGGGAGCCCACGGGGGAGCAGCGGGCTGCCGTGGCCGAGGCTCTGGTCACCTTTGCCCTCCGCTTCTACCAGCGCATGGCAGAGGCCGCCCAGCCCGACGCCAACCTGCTCTTCTCCCCCATCAACGTGGCCGTGGGGCTCTCGCACCTGCTGCTGGGTGAGGGGCCGCCCGCGGGCACCGGCACCGCCGTGTCACCGCTGTCCCAGCCGGGGCGCCTCGCTGAGCTTCCCTTTGCCTGCAGGTGCCCGCGGAGAAACCCAGGAGCGTCTGGCCGCCCTCCTGGCGTACCCGCAGGGGCTGCACTGCGTGCACGGCGCCCTGCAGCGGCTGGCCAGCGCGCCAGGCCTCTTCTCGGCCGCCCAGATCTTCCACCACCCAGGTGAGGAGGGCACCGGGTGCCGGTGGGGCGCCACTGCCCGCTGGGCACCCGGACTGACAGCGGGACCGCGCCGCCCCACAGAGCTGCAGCTGCGGCCCCGCTTCCTCAACGACTCGCTGCGCTTCTACGGCGCCCGCCCGTACGCCCTGAGCGGCAACGAGAGCCTGGACCTGCAGCGCATCAACGCCTGGGTGCGGGACGCCAGCAAGGGTCTGCTGCCCTCGCTGCTTTCCACGCTGCCCCCCGAGCCCCGCCTGCTGCTGCTCAGCGCCGTCCACCTGCGCGGTACGGCCCCGCCACCCGCCACCCCCGGGCGTCCCCCGGACGTCCCCCGAGCATCCCCCGGGCACGGGGCGCGGGGCTGAGGCCGCCCCGTGCGGCCCCCGGTGCCCTCGCCCCTAGCCGCGGTGCCGTGTCCCCGCAGCCGCCTGGCGCACGCCGCTGGACCGCAAGAAGACGGTGCTGCTGCCCTTCCTGCGGCCCGGGCAGCGCCCCCGCAAGGTGCCCACCATGACCAGCGCCAAGTACCCGGTGGCCTCCTTCACCGACTCCCGCCTGCAGGCCCAGGTAGCCCTTGGCCCGGGACCGGCCACCAGGTGCTAGGGGTCTGGGGGGGTCACTGCTGGGGTGGCATGATGTCACTAAGGAGGAATGGCAGGCTGTGATATAACTCCTGCGGCACTCGGGGAGGATGCCAGGCTGATGTCACTCCCCTGGCACTGAAAGGGGCACAGGCTGTGTCCTCGCTCCCCTGGGACTTTGGGGGATGCCAGGCTGGCACCGAGGGGGTGCCGGTCCATGGGGTCCCCGCGGTGGCCCTTAGGTGGGGGTCTGCCCCACAGGTGGGGCGGCTGGAGCTGAACGGGGGGCTGAGCCTCGTGGTGCTGATGCCGCGGGGGCCCCTGGAGCCTCTGGAGACCCTGGAGCGGGCGCTGGACCCCGCCACCTTCCTGGCGCTGCTACGGCGGGCGGCCCGCACCCCGCCCCGGGCCACCGCGCTGTCCCTGCCCCGCCTGCGCCTCGACCTCGCCCTGGACGTGGTGCCTCTGGTCCACGACATGGGTAAGGACACCTCTGATGGCACCACAGGGGCTGGCTGGGCTGCGGGGTCACATCGCTCCCGGTGCGGTGACGTTACTCCCTGCAGGACCTCAGGGCCCCTCCCCGGGTGTCACTTTCCCCAGGGTCCCCAAAGACCCCGATGTCCCCGGTATCCCCTTACCTTTGGTTTCCCCTGGGGCCCCCCACACTCCGGTGTCCCCCATGTCCCCAGTGCCCCGGATGTGCCCTGCTCCCCCCAGCGCCACTAATGTCCCCTTACATCCCAGTGTCCCCAGATTATCCCCAGCGGCCCGAATATCCCGCATCTCCCCGGCGTTCCCTATCCCTGAGTGTCCCTGGCGCCCCCCAGTGTCCCCGTCGTGTCCCCGTGTCTCCTCTATCCCCGCTGCCCCCCGTGTCCCTGCGTCTCCACGTCCTTGTCCCTCCGGTTTTCTCCGGATCCCTGATGCCCCCGCGTCCCCTTGGTGTCCCTGGTGTCCCCTCGGCCCCGCTGTCCCCGCGTTCCGCGGGAGTGGCGCTGAGGCCGTGTGCCGCAGACTTCGGGCTGTTCCTGGACGCGGAGCTGTGCGGGCTGGCGCGGGGCTCGGCCGCGGTGGACTCGGCGCGGCACCGGGCGGTGCTGGCGCTGGACGAGGCCGGCGTGGAGGCGGCGGCGGCCATGGCCACCTCGGTGGCGCGCTCGGCCCTGGTGCTGGAGGCCCTGCGCCCCTTCCTCTTCGTCCTCTGGCACGACACCGGCAACTTCCCCGTCTTCATGGGCCGTCTCAGCGACCCCCAGCCCTGAGTCTGCGGCTCCTGTCCCTGTCCTCCCTCCTCCCACCCCTCCATCCTTCCCTCCCGCCTCCTCCTCTCCCTCCTCCCTCCATCCCTGCCTCCTCCTCTCCCTGCTTCCCTCCTTACCTCTCTCCTTTACCCCTTTCCTCTCTCTCTCCTCCCATCCTTCCTTCCCTTGTCCCTCCTCCCTCCCTGCCTCCCTTCCTTCATCCCTTCCTCCCTCCATTCTCCTCTCCTCTCCTCTCCTCTCCTCTCCTCTCCTCTCACACTCCCCAGGGCACTAGGATGTCCCTGCTCCTCCCGTGCCTCAGTTTCCCTGCCAGCTCGGGGTGACAATAAACGCACCAACCACCTCCTGCCTCCTGCGTGTGAGGAGGGGAAGGGACAGCCTGGGGCCACCAGGGACCCCACTCTGTGCCAGGCCGTGTGCCAGGGTGAGCCAGGGTGGCGGCAGCACGGGGGGCAGGTGACAGCCAGCACCTTCCTTAAAAAAAAAGCCTTTATTGCCCTAGAAAAGCCCCACGACCCCCGTGGCTGGTGCCACCCGGGGGGCGGCGGGGGGCACAGCGAAGATGCCAAGGAGGGGGTCACCCAGCGCGACCCCAGGTGCCCCCCAGTCCCTGCTGCGCCCCCGCCTCAGTCCCAGCCGTTCTCCTTCACCATGTGCGACATCTCGATGATGAACTTGCCCTCCTTGTACTTCTGGCTGCTCTCGAACGCCTGTTCCTGGGGGGGGACACAGTGTCAGCCCCCCGTGCCCCCACGGGCGCTGCCTTCCCCAGCCCCGGGGTGTCTGCAGCAAAGGGTTGGGGTGCCCAGGCAGGGGCTGGGGTGCCCAAGGGTGCCCCAGGAAAGGGTTGGGGTGCCCAGACAGGGGCTGGGGTGCCCAAGGGTGCCCATGGAAAGGATTGGGGTGCCCAGACAGGGGTTGGGGTGCCCAGACAGGGGTTGGGCTCCTGGGCAGTGCCCGCAGCAGGTGGGGGTCGCAGCTGGGGGGCACTCACGTATTTCCAGCCCAGGGTGGTCTTGCAGCTCTGGCAGAAGATGTCGGCCACCGAGTGCAGCCCCGTGAGCAGCAGGCGCTGCTCGGCCGGGCCGCAGCCCACGTTCACCCTGCACCGAGAGCGGGGTCCCAGAGGCTCGGCACGCCCGGCCCCGGGACCCCGGGCTGCCCCTCCCCACTGCCAGCCCCGGTGGCCCGGTACTCACACGGAGTTGAACAGGTAGGCACGGCCGTGGCTGCCCTGGAAGGACTGTGGGGACACGGCGAGTGTCACTGTTGGTCCCTCACGTCCCCCGGCACCCCTCCCTCCATGTCCTGCTCCCATCCCGCTGCACTGCCACCGTGCAGCCTGGGGACACCGCGGGGGGACACCTGCCAGCTCGGGGACGCTGAGGGAGGGACGGCCACCTCCGTGGGAGCACCATACGGGTCACCGCGGGGCGGGGGAGGGGGGGAGGATGCTTCAAACTCAGCGCTCTGGGGACACGGCCAAGGGACACCCGCTGTCCTAGGACCCCCCCCGGGGACGCGGCCAGGGGGACTCCCGCTGTCGCGGCACACGGGGCCCGGGCAGTGCCCGCCCAGCGCGGGGGTGGCGGTGGCACCTTGGAGATGAGCTCCTCGTGGCGGGCCAGGTGCGCCCGGCAGTGCACGCAGCTGTAGGTGCGGTGCGAGCGCGGCAGGTAGCTGCGGAAGGTGCGCGGCGGCAGGCGGGCCCCGGGGGGCAGGCGGGCCCCGGGGGGCAGGCGGCGGCGGGCCGGGGGCGGCATGGCCGGGGGCAGCGCCCCGGGGGGCACCGCGCAGCCCCCGCACAGCCGCTCGCAGGGGAAGCAGCGCAGCAGCGCGCCCAGAGCCGCCGTCCCGCCCGGCCGGGCTCGGGGGGCTCCGCCGGGGCCCCCCGGCAGAAGGAGGCGGAAAAGGGGGGCGGCCTGCCGAGGGGGAACGGGGGAGGTCAGGGGGGGCCCCTCCTCAGCCTCCCAGGCGTGGGCGCTCCGCGGGCTGAGAGCGGGCGGTTCATCGCAGGAGTGACACCGGGGACACCGGGAGAGCCGGGGGGGCACGGGGGGCCGAGGGCAGA